AAAACCTCCCCCGAAGATCCCGGGCGCTGCGCACCCTTCCCACCAACACCCGGTTTCCCGCGGCCGCCGCCTCCTCTGCGGAGCCTCCCTCCCCCGCCAGGCTGCTCCCTGCACTGCCCCCAGGCTGCGCACTGGCTCAGCAGTGGTGCTTGCGGCCTCTCATTCAGTTCCTTTTCTTTGAATTGTCTTTATTTCGTTGTTGTTGGGAATATACACAGCCAAACATACAGCATCTCAAGTTTCTGCGTGTACCATTCGGCGACGTTGGTGACACTCTTCCAGTGGGGCAGTCTCACCCTCCTTTTCCGAGTTGTTGTCCTCCATGAACGAGAACTTACTGCCCCCTGAGGTTCCTGTCTAATCTTCCCAGTTGCTTTTGTCAGTTAGATCCCATATAGTCCCTTGAAGAGCATAATACTCAAAGCACCATTGTGTATTAGTTAAGCTCAACTGTTGTTTGGTTTTAAGAAGAATAAAGGGAAGAGGTTTGGCTTGCGGTTTAAAGATTATCTCAAGGCAATAGTGTCAGAGGTTCATCCACCCTCCATGGCTCCAGAAAGTTTAGAGTCCATGAGAATTTGAAATTCTGTTCTGCATTTCCCTCCTTTTGACCAGGATTCTTCTATGGAATAATGGTAGGTGCGGTCCAGTTCTGGTCTCATGTCCAAGGAGGCAGTTGTTCATGGAAGCAGTCAACCACATGTTCCATATCCTCCTCCTATTCCTGACTCTTCTTCTTCCTCTGTTGCCCCAGGTGACTAAAGACCACTTTCTGTGCCTTAGATGGCTGCTTACAAGATTTTAAGACCCCAGGCACTACCCAATGAACTAGGAGGTAGAACAGAAGCACTAAACATGTGATTAGGCAAATTAACTGGGATGTCCCCTGAAATCATGACCCTATACCTCCAAACAGGGAAACACATCCCATGAGGTGTTTGGTTGTACATAACCAGCCTCAGCATCTACTCTCTCTTGCTCTCTTTTTTGGTTGTTGTTGTAAATATGTCCACCACACAACTTTTGCCTCTTTTTATAGGTGTACAATTTATTGACAACAAGTACAATAATCAGCTGAGCAGCCCTAACCCTAATCAATGCAGTTTTCTCTCACTGTGTTTCCTTCTTTATTCTCTAACAAGTTCAGGCTTATCTGAGTCCAATATCAAGCCCAAGGGTCATATTATTCTCTAAAAAGTTTAGGGTTACTACAAGGGGAGGCCAAAGGGTAAAGGCAAGACCCTTGGGCCATTGGCTTATGGAGGCAGAAAGACCACCAACTAGTACTCAGGTTAGTGTGAAGTTATAGATTGTGATAGGCAGGGAGGCTGTAAGAGGTGGCTGTTGGGATGAGGGTGATGTAGGTATGGGAGGAGTAGCAGGTGGGGGGCATGGTGGATGCCCTGGGGAAGGAAGGGCTGGGTGAGCAGAGGCCGAGGGTGCTAAATCTAGTCCCATGTCCATGTCCTTGGAATCTATTGCAAGAGGCCTGCGCCAGCCCTGGAACAGTGGGGAGACTTAATTAAGAACTCATAGGGCATGTTCTGTTAGTTGCCCAGTGACTCTAAGGGGGAGTACTTTCCATTGAGCCTGTTTTCCAGGAGCAGATATTGAGCACAGAGAGGGCAGGTAATTTGCAGAGGCAGCACAGCCAGGTGCCCTGAAGTCAGACTCTTAGCCCAGACCCCATGTTTTGCACTTCTACAAAGACAAACTAAACTCATGAAGAGCATTGGGAAGGAAAAGCTTGTCCACAGGCAGGAGTGGAAAAGGCTCACAGAGGAGGGAGGTGTGTATTCGCCTGGCCTCTACAGACAAACTTCTTCAGTCTCAGATTGCTAGAAAGACTTCCCAAGAAGGGCCAGACCCACTGTGGTCAGTGCATCTTCAGCCAAGAAATCAGACACTGAAGGCCCTCAGTCCTGCCCAGGTGCACCCAGAGCCCTTGCCCTTGTGCCTCAACACCAGAGATGCAGTAAATAGCTTCCATTTTCAGTACACACACACACACACCAAAAAAACAAAAGAAAATGAAACTGCTGCTTGCAACCCTCTAAAATGATCTTATGGTCCTGCAGTTTGATGCTTCATGGAGCCCGGCCTCACAAAGATGATAATGAGCCCCAGGATGGGGGGTATGGAGAGAAGCAAGCCAAGGACTGCTGTGGGAAGTGGGGACAGTGTGGGAGCACCAGCCACCTGGAGTCAGGTGTTTTTTCCCAAAACAGCCACAGCAGTATTTCTGCTTTTCCAAAAATATGCACTCCTGCTGTGACCGCCTTCTCCCATCTATATTTGTTCCCTTAGAACCTGGGTGAGCTTGTCCAGTCAATAGAATGTGGTAACAGTGGTGTTATTATGTAACCTCCAAGGCTGGGTCATGGAAAGGATTCAGCTCCTGCTGGCTCTCTCTCAGAGCACTCACCTCAGAGCCCAGCCGCCATGTTGTGAGGAAGCCCAGCACATACAGGGAGGCTGCCTATGTATGTTGTAGCTTTAGCCTCAATGAAGTCTCAGCCAACAGCTAGACAGGATGGCCCCTCAGATGATTCCAGACCCTGCCTTGAGCCTCCCCTGTAGGTGGTAAGTGGACCCAGGGTAAGCTGTCCTCACTGAGTCCTGACCAAACTGCAGATTCACAAGCAAATCATTGTACTAAGTCAGCATGTTTTAGGGCAATGTGTTACGCAGCCCTAGTAATTGTAAGAGTAATTGCTAGTTAATAAGTACTCCTATTTGAATGTAGACTGATAGAGAAGGGTCTTGTCAGAGGCCCCTCTAGGTGGTGAGTGGCAGGCGGTCTGACTCTGGAGGCCAGCATTCATCTTTCATTTGTTACTGGGAACAATTTCAAACACACACAAAAGTAGAGCAAATAGCACAGTGAGTTGCATGCGGCCATTGTTCAAATTCAGCTATTACTAGCTCACGGACAATCTTGTTTCTTTTATGGCCAAATCACTGACCTCCTCTCTCAGGTTATTTTGAAGTAAACCCTATACACTTTATATCATTCCATTTGTAAAAACTTTGGTCTTTATCTCTAAAGGAAAGGAGAGTCCTGTTGTTTGAACACTCTGCTTTGCAAAACCCAGACATCAAGGGAGCTGACATAGTGGACTCAGGACCAGGTGGGCCACATGTTGGGTGAAACGGCCAGTGTGTGTGGATTAACACTTGCTCTGGGATTTTTGCAAGAAGTGCACAGGTTATTTATCAGGGTTTCTGAGTGACACAGCTTGATACTGAACATAGTATCTTAAGCCACACATGTGAGGAAAGGGCTCTTTTCTAAAACTCTGAACTCAAATCCAATATGAAAAACTCAGGTCCTGGTTGGGAGTCAGAGACATGGCAGCTAGGTGTCCATGCAATTAATCTCCGCCATCTACACCGATGCAAACAGGACACACTGAGAGGTCAGTTTCTGACAGAGGGGTACCCTGTCTTGGTTATCCTGAGCGAACCCTCTTTTTGCCCTTCTGTGCAAGGAATTATTGTTACTGTGTTTATTTAATTCAGTACTCACAGCCAGGCTTCTAAACAAAAGGCCAATCAGAATGAAGCATCTAGCATATTGGGTCTTCTAGAAAGCACTGGTGATAATCACCCCACTGGGCTGCCCACCTGCATCATGTTGCCTGCCAGACCCCCTCTGGGAGGACCCTGCCTCTGGGGGAGAAGGCCCATCTTGCCAGCAGAGTCTGACATGGAGCTGGCAACATGTCCGACATATGAAGACTTAGGGGAATGATCTAGAGAAATCAAGGAGCTCTGGTAGCATAGTGCCTAAGGCACTTGACTGCTAACCAGAAGGCTGGCAGTTCAATCCCATCAGCCACTCCTTGGAAGGAAGGTTGGGCAATCTACTTCGGTAGTGATACCACCTCAGAAACTCAAGGAGAGGTCGCTATGAGTCGGGTCCTACTCGATGGCACATAACAACAACAACGATAAATCATGGCTCCTTCCAACTGGCTGCTCCTCTCCAAGAACAGTCGGGACTTGGTGGGCAAACAGTAAGCCCTTCAGGTCCATCGCAGTGGCTGCTGGAGGACGCTCGAGGACTGAGCAAACCCAGCTACTGAGACATTCTTTCTCTCTGAGCTGGACAGGAAGACTTAAACCCATCTGAGCCCTCCCTCATTACTCACATTTGAAAAAAAAAATTTTTTTTTATTGTGATTTGGGTGAAAGTTTACAGAGCAAACTGATTCCATGGCAGTGCATTTGGTTTGGTGTTTGGTACCACAAAAACACTATTCAAGAAGATGCTCAGGTTGAGAGTATAGAAAGAAAGATACATACTGTGTAAAGATGGGTGTCTGCCATGACAAATTCTGTCTTCTGGGTGACATAGGTCCTCCCATTTAGGTAATAGGGTGGTGGAGGGGATGGGAAATTCACTTTGGAGATCATAAAATGGCTACCATTTGTTTTACTGATCCCTCTCTCTTTTTCAGCAGGATCTGTCTGGAAGCCTGAGAGAATTCTCCTCCATGAGAGCAGAGGGCCACCACCAAGGTTGTGTTAGGGGTGGGTATGCTGTCACTTAGCAATAGGGGCAGGTGTCAAGCAGGCAGCTGATTTCAAAACTTTGGAGCTAAGCTGGAGCGTTTTTTCTTTCTTTTTTCCTGAGGGTTTGTGGAAATTCAACCATCTTCAACCTTCAACTGTGCAGCAGGTGGGAGGACGCTTCAAAGGTGAGCAGCATGAGGTGAGTCCCAGAGGGGGAGACTCAAACCCAAATTTGAGTTCGATTTGGACAACGATCTGGAACCTTGTTAGTCCTTGGTTCATTCGTTAATGCATTCGTCCAACACATCTTTACTGAGAACCTGCCCAAGGCGCTGGAGCTCAGAGGAAGGGACATAACGCCTCCTCCTCTGGTAGTGCCGTCAGGCACTTAACTACCAACCAGAAGGCTGGCGGTTCAAACCCACCAGCTACCCTTCGGAAGGAAGATGGGGCAATCTACTTCCGTAGTGATACTGCCTCAGAAACCCAAGGAGGGCTCACTATGAGTCGGTCCGACTCCACAGCATATAATAACAACAACATGTGCCTCTAAGGGCCTCCTGTGCTCCTTACATAGTGATACCGCCTGGGAAACCCAAGGAGGGGTTGCTATGAGTCGGGTCAGACTGGGCGTAGTGAGTTTGGGTTGATTTTCGCTACCTTCATGAAGCTTAAGGCATGGTAGGGGACAGGCACTAAAGCGAAGACATGTGCTATATTCCCTGTGAGGTGACAAAGTGCTAGTTTCCAGTTTCCAGTTCGCAGGCCACGAAGGGTCCAGCGGAGCACAGAGCTCCCGGGCCTGTGTCAGGACCCCACGCGTCGCAGAGTGGAGTTGGGGCCCCTTCGTCCCAATTCGCCAACAACGCGCCTTTAGGAGTGTCGGAGAGCTCAGGCGACCCGTGACGCGAAGCCCCGGATGGCGGGAAGGCCTCCCAAGCTTCTGAGACCCGGAGCTCCTCCCCTGAGCGTGTTGCTGGGGACGCGCTCCCGCCGTTGCCACGTCTTAGTGGCGCAGACGGAGTCTCGCGAGGATCTCCGAGACTTGGCGCGGGAGCGCCGAGAGTTGCCGGGAGACCGCGCAGTTTCACGCCGCGGGCGCGTCGGTGTGGTGCTGGCTGTGGGGCCGGGCTGGCAGATCCATGGTGAGGGGCCCGGGTGATGGGCTGTGGCCGGTGCGGGACCCCGGGCCGGAGTCTGCGCAGCCTGGGGCCTGGAGCTCGGGGCCGTGGTCTGTCCGGGGTGCTGTGCTCCCGGGGCTAGTCGGCGAAGCTCTGAAGAGCGAAGCCCGCTGTGCGGACTGGGCGAGAGCCCGGGCCGGCGGGCTGCGTCGCCCGGAGTCAGGGCCTCCCAGGGCGCACAGGACCCCAGGGAGGCCGGCCTGGGCCCCGGGGGTGACCCCGATGAGGGGCGGGGAAAGAGCGTGAGAAGAAAGGTGTGTGTCAGAGCGTTTCCCGGCCCTAAGGGGACATGGACGCACCCGACAGCACAAGACAGCGCGGGCCTCGGGGAGCGCGGAGCGCGCGAAGAGCAGGATCGAGACCGGGGGCGGGCACCTAGGGTGCGCCCTGTCACCACTCCCTGTTGGGCCCTTCACGCAGCGCGTGGAGGCTCTCCTCTCCTGGGTTCTTTCAACTTTGATGTTTGGAAGACAGCAAAGCTTACACTGGTGTCGTTCTGTGATCCTCGCCACACAGCCCTATTCCCTAAATCCCGGGAAGAGGTTTTTGGAGGTTTTCCGTAGTAGTCACCAGGCTTGTAACATGGTAGTGTTCGACCACATGGTTTCAGGTCTTCCATTTTGAATCCAAGTAAGCTTTGTATCCAAAGATAAATTTTATGCAAAGACAGAGAGGCCTAACATACCAAGGAGTGAATGGCTTTGGGATGGGTTGCCCCTCCTTTGCTTTCAGTGGGAGAAAATACCTCTTCTGAAAAGGAACCCTTCCCCTCGTGCTTCTGCAAAAGAGCCAGTGGGGACCATTAAGGGTGGAAACCTGATGTGTGCTCCAGGGCCCTCCTGTTGGGACAGAGGTGCCAGTGAGGTCTTCTTTCTCCCAGAAGTACTCCCAGGAGGGTCTTGGAGCCGGTCAACAAATGGGAGCCCTTAGATGGTCTATTTTCTTATCCCTCCATCTCCTCTTTAACTGCAGGCGCCTAAAAAAAAAGGAAAGAAGGGCAAAGCCAAAGGCACCCCGATTGTTGATGGGGTTGCTCCAGAGGACATGAGCAAGGAGCAGGTGAGAGGGAAGCCCAGCCACTTCACTTCAGGCCAGCCAGCCAGCCTCCCTGACAGCCCCCCTTTCAGTTTGTCCTCTCTCTGTTTTCCCTCTGGCTTGCCCTCCCCTCCCTCATCTGCCCTCACCACCCTGTACTTCTCTCCAAACCAGAATGTGCTTCCTGCCTCCATCCTTCCAGTCAATGCTGAATCTCTCAGGTACAGTACAGCCACATTAGAGAACATTTGTAGGTTGGTGGAGTTCGGAAAGAGATATATTTCTGATGTAACAGTTCTATTTTTAATATTTATATCTCTGTGATGGTTAATGTTGTGTGTCAACTTGCTGGGCCATGATTCACAGTGGTTTGGCAATTATGGTATGGTCATCTCCCACGATGTTGTTGTTAGGTGATGTAGAGTCATTTCCGACCCTATGTACAGCAGAACAAAACAGTACCCGGTCCTGTGCCAGTTCCATGATTCCTGCTATATACCTGAGCTCATCGTTGTAGCCACTGTCAATCCACATCTTGTTGAGAGCCTTCCCCTCTTTCACTGACCTTCCACTTTACCAAGCATGACATCCTTCTCTAGGGAATGGTCTCTTTATATAACATGACCAAAGTAGGTGAGACAAAGTCTGGCTATTCTTGCTTCCAAGGAGCATGCCGGCTGCACTTCTTCCAGGACAGATTTGTTAGTTCTTTTAGCAGTCCATGGTATTTTCAGCATACTTCACCAGCACCACAACTCAGAAACACTGACTCTTCTTTGGTCTTCCTTATTCATTGTCTAGCTCTCACATGCGTATGAGGTGATTAAAAATACCATGGCTTGTGTCATGCACATCTTAGTCCTCAAGGAGACATCTTTGCTCTTCAGCACTTGAAAGAGATCTTTTGCAGCCGATTTGCCCAGTGCTGTACATCGTGTGATATCTTTGACTGCTGCTTCCACTGGCATTGATTGTAGAACCAAGTAATAGGAAGTCCTTAACAACTTTAATCTTTTCTCTGTTTATCGTGATGCTGCTTATTGGCCCGGTTGTGAGGATTTTTGTTTTTATATTGTGGTGTAATCCATACTGCAGACTGTAGTCTTCAGTCTTCATCAGTAAGTGCTTCAAGTCATCCTCACTCTCAGCAGGCAAAGTTGTGTTGTCAGCGTATCACAGGTTGTTAACGATTCTTCCTCCAATCCTGATGCCACATTCTTCTTCATACAGTCCAGCTTCTTGGATTATTTGCTCAATGTAGAGATTGAGTGTGGATACAACCCTGACACACTCCCTTCTTGATTTTAAACCATGCAGTGTCGCCTTGTTCTGTTCGAACATCAGCCTCTTGGTATCTGTACAGGTTCCTCATGAGTACAGTGAAGCGTTCTAGAATTCCCATTTTTCTCAGTGTTACCCACTATTTGTTGTGATCCACACAATCAAACGCTTTTGCATAGTCAATAAAATGTAAGTAAACATCTTTCTGGTATTCTTTGCTTTCAGCTAAGATCCTTCTAACATCAGCGATGATATCCCTCGTTTCATGTCCTCTTCTGAATCCAGCTTGCATTTCTGGAATGTACTGCTACAACCATTTTTGAATTATCTTCATCAAGATTTTATTTGCATGTGATATTAATGATATTGTTTGATAATTTCCACATTCTGTGGGATCACATTTCTTTGGAATGGGTACAAATATGGATCTCTTCCGGTCAGGTGGTCAGGTAGTTGTCTTCTAAATCTCCTGGCATAGCTGAGTGAGTGCCTCCAGCATGGCATCTGTTTGTTGAAACATCTCAAGGGGTATCCCGTCAATTCCTGGAGCCTTGTTTTTCGCCACTTCCTTCAGTGCAGCTTTGACTTCTTCCTTCAGTACCATTGGTTTTTGATCATATGCCACCTCCTGAAGTGGATGAACATTGACCAGTTCTCTTTGGTACAGTGACTCTGTGTATTCCTTCCATCTTCTTTTGATGTTTCCTGTGTTGTTCAGTATTTTGCCCATAGAATCTTTCAATATCGCAATTCGAGGCTTAATTTTTTTCTTAATTTCTTTCAGCTTGAGAAATGCCAAGCATGTTCTTTCCTTTTGGTTTTCTAACTTCATGTCTTTTCACATTTCGTTATAGTAATTGACTTTGTCTTCTCGAGCTGTCCTTTGAAATCTTCTGTTCAGCTCTTTTATCTTGTCATTTCTTCCATTTGCTTTGTTGTTGTTGTTGTTATTTGCCATCGAGTCGGCCCCGACTCATAGCGACCCCTCCTTGGGTTTCCAAGGCAGTATCACTACGGAAGTAGGAATGCCCAACCTTCCTTCCGAGGAGTGGCTGGTGGGTTTGAACTGCCAGCCTTTTGGTTAGCAGTCAAGTGCCTCAGGCACTATGCTACCAGAGCTCCTTCCATTTGCTTTAGCCACTGTTTATTCAAGGGCAAGTTTCAGAGGCTCTTCTGACATCCATTTTGATCTTCATTCCTGTCTTTTTAATGACCTTTTGCGTTCTTCACGTCTGATGTTCTTGATGTCACCCCACAGCTCTTCTCCCATGATAAGATCTGATATGATGTAAGCACATGCACAGTGAGATCTGCTCTAAGCAGCCAGTCAGACGAAAGGGGATTTCCTTGGGGATGTGGCCTGCCTCTGGTGTCTCTGTGGATGTTCTGCAAAGCTCTCTGGGTTTTTGCTCAATCTGGATGCTTCATCTGGCTCATCATTATCTGACCTTCAGTTCTCTGAACTTGAGCCAGTGGTCTGCCATATTGTCTGGGATCTCGGGCTTGGTTAACCTCTGCAGCTGGTGAGCCAGCAGCTTTCCATCTGACCCACCGATTTTGAGTTTGTCATCCCCTGTGGCTCTGTGAGTCAGGAGAGGCCTCCAGCCTGATGTCTGACCACAGATTTGGGACTTGCCATCCTCTATAACCATGTGGGACGCTTCCTTGAGGTGAATCTACCTATATATCTACATATGTAAGCTTTACTGGTTTTGCTTCTCTAAAGAATCCAGCCTAAGCCAGGCTCCGTTAAGTCTATCCTTGGATGCACCTGACTTTTACAGAACTGTTACCACAGCACACATACACAGCCTTCTCCTTTGTTTTATTCACTGTAAACACTAAATAGGAAGTGGACTTAAGCCACTTACTGAAAATGGCTTACTGAAAAGAACATGGCTTTCTGAAAATCATGTCACCTCCACCTGATGACTCAAGTCGTCGTTTGACGAGAGTTCCAACAAGGAGGGGCCAGTTGGCTGCCTCTGCTGTTGCTTGTGTGTGTGTGTTTTGGGGAGAGGATCTTTCTTTAAACTCTGGCTTCCTTGTGGGAATTACTTTGTCATTTGTCCATTTTGTTAGTATTAAGAGCTGGATAATTGCATAATTACAGATACCTGATAACTATACAAGGGGCAAAACCTTGAAAGCCAAGGAGGTACCCCCTGGCATCAGTGCTTTGCTCCAGCAGAGCCAGGGGTGTCTGACATAGGAGCCAAGAGAGGCAGTGTTGGCTTGGTGCTCATGGTTGTGAGCCTTGTTTTCCTTTTATAGTTTTAAGATAAATGAAAACACAGGAAACTGAGAGTGGCCTTAGAGCTGAAGTGGCAGGGCTGCAGAGACCTTGGGGTCATGGTGAAGAAAAGTTTTATTTTATGTGTCATTTGAGAATACGGTGATGGGTCGGATGTTTTGAGAAGGTCACCTGGATGCTGGGTGAGGAATAGACTGAATAGTTTACATGCTGTGCTAGGATGACTTTTATATGGCCTTCGTAGCCATGGTCTTCTAACACCCACCAAATAATTGGGTGGGATTATGCAAGTAAGGTGCTTGTGGCCCACCAAGGGGATTGACAGCTTGTTCATAATGCAGATAAGGTGCACGGTACCCTTGCGGGGATGGGTCCATGTAAAAGAAGGTGTATGAAACTCTAATGAGAGGAGTGATTAGTTTTGACATCCTGCTAGGCTTAAAAGAGCCAATCCCAGAGCAGAGGGGCACTTATTACCACCAAGAAGAGATGGGAGTGGAGCTTGTCCTTTGGCCCCAGGGTCCCTGCACTGAGAACCTCTTTCAGCCTGGAGACAGAGAGCTATAACATGGAAGACAGAGGGAGACAGTGGTGCAGCAGTAGCAAGAAGGTTAGCAGTGTGAGACAACAGGAGGCAGGAGACCAATGTGAGATGGCGGTGGTGGGACTTGCAGACCCACAGGGTTGTTAACGCTTTCCTGAGAGGGCCCCAAGCAGGGTCCAGCAGCAGAGGGCAGGAAGAAGCTGATCCTGATCAAGAACTGGATTCTGAGTTGTTACTGTTACTTCTGAGTATGGTCTGTGAGTTCTGTGTGCTTATTGCAAAAAATTATCAAACCAAACAGAGGAGGAGAGAGGGATGGCTGGTGTCAGAATTGGTAAGAAGGTCGGAGAGAGGACATATGTCTGACCTCTGCTTCATAGCAGTCAGCCTTGGGCTGGTGCTGATGGTGATTCTCTCTCCTCCTTGTGAAGTTAGGAAAGGTCACATGCCTCTGTCACGCCATTTTTAGATTGCATCACCCAGTGGTGAGTGGCTTCCTGTCCAGTTTACTCTACAGACTTTAGACAGGACAGGGTAGCCCCTCAGGCAGGGATGCACCTTATATTCTTGGTGGCCCCAGAAACCCCCAGGGGCTAGGCAGCAGTGTGGGGGTGACCTGGAGCTTGGGTATACAGAGAGGTAGGTAGAGTGCTAACTGTGGGAGCAGACTCCAGTATGAGGGGCTTCTGTAGCATTTGAAACAGCCTGACAACCAACAGTTACCAGGTAGGAGAGGGGTAATGTCTGTCCTGGGTCAGATCGTCATAGAGGTCTGCCTCGTTGCTATCCGAATCCCCCAGGTAGGTTGTTAGCTGTGAGTGCACCCTCCATTCAAGACTCCTACGTACCAACACACAGCAGCCTCAGTACCATCTGGAAGTGGGGGGCAGACTGGCTCTAACTGATCCTCAGTGACGTCTGTCCTTTTGGACAAGAATTAACAGT